TGAGTCGGAAACGACTCGACGGCACTTAACAACAACAACAAAATATTCCTTTAATAGAATTACTGAATCAAAAACGAACACGTGAAGCCTCTTCATTCTGCCCACTTGAATCCTGACTGTTCGCGTCCCAGGTCTTGTGTTGTGACATAAATCTGGTTCTTCTTATACCTTAGAAATAGTAAAGAAAATTGTGATTCTGTGTTAGTTTAATTAATTTTTTGTGTTAAAATATTGTTTCCCTATGATCAGAGCTATGAATGAAGGAAATTACTATTCATAACCAAGTTTGGATAAAGATCATCACTGTATTTTTTAGGCTGAAAATGGGAAAGATTTCTCTGAAGCAGATCTCCTGGCCGAAGTGAATATGTTCTTGGTCGCAGGATATGAAACCACCGCCAGTGCCATTTCCTGGATCTTTTACTGCATGGCCAAGTACCCTGAGCACCAGCAACGATGCCGAGAAGAGCTCAGGGGGATCCTAGGGGATGGGGATGCTATTACCTGGTAAGATCTCTGTTCTCATTTCGTCATGTTATTTTTCCTTACACGTTTGGTTAACTGTCTCTTCTGTACCAACGAGATTATAATGCATTGAGATAATATAGATGTATTTGGAAGAGTAGAAGCAGAGTAGAATCCTAAGGTTTTTTGTGGGTTTGGTTTTTTTAAAGATAATTTTAAAAAAATGTTTTATTATGATTTGGTTGCAAATTTACAAAACAGGTTTATTTTGCTCTCAACAGTTCGTGCACATTTGATTTCATGGCCTTGATTACAATCCCAACAATAGAAAGTTCTCCTCCCTTCTCCTCCCTGTGACTTCCACTTCTCTGTGTCCTTATCTAGGCATTCCTATCTGTCCAACTTCCCCTCTATGTAAATGCTGCCTTTTGTATCTCTCATGGTTGATTGATCTAAGGGGTGCATCTCCCTAGGATAGGTGTTCTGCTTGTAGGCCTTTCTACTGTTTGGCTGAGAGCTAATCCATGGAAGTAAATCCAGTTCCAGGCCAGAAGAATAACCCAGGGCCAAAGCCTCAGAGGGTCCTCCAGTCTTTATCCAACCAGTAATTCTAGTCATTTTTGTGTTTTTGAATTTGTTCTGCATTTCCCCCCCCACTCTATCCAGGATCTCCAACCTTGATTCCTTTCTTAGTGGTTGGCATGGGTAGCAAGGCACCATCTATTTCTTCAGGTCTCAGGGTCATGAAGGCTGAGTTTTCTTTGGTCTGTCAGAGTCTTGGACTAATTTTCTCTATATGACTTTGATTTTCTTCACTCTTCTTTGCTCCAGACAAGGAAAGACCAATAGTTGCATCTTAGATGGCTGCTTGAAAGCCTTTAAGATCCCAGTTGCTACTCACCAATGTAGGACATAAAACAAGATTTTTATGTACTGTGTTGTGCCAGTTGAGTTTGATGTCCCCCAAGACCATGGTCCCAAGCCCACAAGCCTAGTAACTCACTCCCTGAAGTGAGTCACTGAAAAATTAATCCAAACTATTGCCCTGTTAGTTCTATAATGTATACGGATATTTTTGTAGCACAAATACACCTGCAACAATATCATCAATCAGTTCTAAGGTCATGGGTATATTCCCATTCACTACCCACACCTGATTGTCTCACCTGTCTATGCATCCACCCATAGACTAGTGTTTGTTGTTACTGGTGATGCACTATTGTGTATGTAATAGTATTTGCCTCTGTTATCTATATCTTTTGGGCACATTTCTGTGTCCTCCTTTTCTTTGTTGTTATTGTAATATTCCTTTTCCCTTCACCCAAATCAACACATGACTCTTAACTAGCTAGAAATTTTCCTTTTCCTTCCCTCCCATGCCTGGTAAACAACGAAGTAAATTTCCTTCCCTGTGTAAACCTTTCTTGACTTTTTATAATGAACTCATACAATATTTGTCCTTCTGTGGTTGACTTACTTCACTGAGGATGCCCTCCAAGTTTGTCTATGTTATAAGGTGTGAATTCTTCATTATTCTTTAATGTTGCATGGTATTCCATTGTGTGGATGTACCATAGTTTGGTTATCCATTCATCTGTTGATGAACGTTTAGGTTTTTTCCATCTCTTTGCTATAATAAATAGTGCTGCAGTGAGCATGGGTGTGCATATTCATGTCCCAGATCTCACCTCTTTAGGATATATTCCTAGTAATAGAATTGCTGGATCAAATGGTATTTCTATTTCCAAATTTTTAAGGAAATGCCATACTGTTTTCCACAGTGGCTGCACCATTTTACAGTCTCACAGCAGCATATGAGAATCCCGATCTCTCTACACCCTCATCAGCATTTGTTATTTTCTGCCTTGTGGAACCTTGCTATTATTGCTGGGGTGAGATAATATCTCATTGTTGTTCTGATCTGCATCTCTCTAATGGCTAATGATTGTGAGCCTTTATTCATGTGTTTGTTGGCCACCTGTATGTCCTCTTTCATGAACTATCTGTTCATGTCCTTTGCCCATTTTTGAACTGCATTGTTTGTCTTTCTGGTGTTGAGGTGTTGAAGTTTTATACAAATTTTAGAAATAAGTGCCTTGTTGTACATGTCATAGCCAAATATTTTTTCCCAAATGTATAAGTTCTTTTTTCACTCTTTTGGAGAAGTCTTCCAATGCAATAAGATTTTAATTTTTAGAAGGTCCAAGTCATCTGGTTTCTCTTCTGCTGTTTGTGCATTTTGGATTATGCTTGATAGTCTATTTATACCATACATTAGGATGCCTAGGTTTGCCCCTTATTTTATCTTTGATGAATTTTGTACTTTTGGGTTTTACATTTAGGTCTTTGATCTATCTTGAGTTTGTTTTTGTGTATGGTATGAGGTATGGCTCTTGTTTCATTTTTCTGCAAGTGGATATCCCATTTTGCCAGCACTATTTGTTAAAGAGGTTGTCTCTCTCCCTGTTTAATAGATTTTGGTACTTTGTCAAAGATCAGCTCTCCATGGATGGATGGGTTTATTTCCAGGTTTTTAATTTTGCCCCACTGGTCTATTTTTCTACCATTGTACCAATACCATGCCGTTTTGACTACTGTGACTGTATAGTAGGTTTTGAGATTAGAAAATGCAAGACCCCCTACTTTATTTTTCTTCTTCAGCAGGGCTTTGCTTATCTGAAGTCTCTTTCCTTTCCATATGAAGTTAGTGTTTGATTTTTCAGTGTCCTTAAAGAATACTGTTGGAACCTGGCTAAGGATTCCATTAAATGTGTAGATTGCTCTGGGTAGTACTGACATTTTCACAGTTCAGTCTTCCTATGCATGATAGTGTCGCATTCTTCCATTTATGTAGATCTCTTATAGTTTCTTGAAGTAGTGTTTTGTAGTTTTCTTTTCATAGGTCTTTTGTGTCCCTGGTAAGATGTACTCCTAAGTATTTTATCTTTTTGGTAGCTATTGTAAATGGTATTGTTTTCTTTATTTCCTTTTCAGAGATCTCTTTGTGGATGTAGAGGAATCCAACTGATTTTTTATGTTGATCATGTATCCTGCCACTTACCTAAATCTTTCTATTAGTTCCAGTAGTTTTCTTGCTGAGTATCTCAGTTTCTCTCTATTCAGGATCATGTCATTTGTAAACAGAGATAGTTTTATTTCTTCTCTGCTAATTTGGATGCCTTTTATTTCTCTTTCTTGCCTCAGTTCACTGGCTAAGACTTTTAATACAATGTTGAATAGAAGTGATGATAAAGGGCAACTTTGTCTGGTTCCTATTCACAAGGGGAATGCTTTAAGTCTTTCTCCATTGAGAATAATGTTGGCTGCTGCTTTGCATGCTGTTGTTGTTGTTGTTATGTGTTGTTGAGTCAGACCCGACTCATAGCGACCCCTCCTTGGGTTTCCGAGGCAGTATCACTACGGGAGTAGATTGCCCCATCTTCCTTCCAAGGAGTGGCTGGTGGGCTTGAACCGCCAGCGTTCTGGTTAGCAGTCAAGTGCCTGGGGCACTACACTACCAGAGCTCCTGTTGCTTTGCATATATGCCCTTTTTTATGTTGAGGAATGTCCCCTCTATTCCAATTTTGCTAAGAGTTTTAATCAGGAATGGGTGTTGGATTTTATCAAATGCTTTTTCTGCACCACTTGGTACAATCATGTGGTTCTTCTCCTTTGTTTTATTTATGTGATGGATCACATTGATAGTTTTTCTGATGTTGAACCATCCATTCATACCTGGTATGAATCCCACTTGATCATAGTGTATTTTTTTATATATATAGTCTTGGCTAGGATTTGTTGAAGATTTTTGCATCTATATTCATGAGGGATATTGGTCTGTAGTTTTCCTTTTCAGTGATATCTTTACCTGGTTTTGGTACCACAGTTGTACTTGCTTCATACAATGAATTTGGGTGTATTCCATCATTTTTTATGTTCTGGAATTGTTTGAGTTGTATAGGTGTCAACTTCTCTGAATGTTTGATAGAATTCTCCAGTGAAGCCTTCTGGGCCAGGACTTTGTTTCTGAGGAGTTTTTGTTTTGTTTTGTTTTTTAATGACCTGTTCATTCACTTTCTTCTTTCATTATGAGTCTGTTCAATCATTCAATTTCAGACTGTGTTAGTTTAGGTAAGTCTTGTGTTTTTAGAAATTTTCCCATCTCTTCTAGGTTTTCAAATTTGTTGGAGTACAGCTCTTCAGAATATTCAGTTATTATATTTTTTAATTTTAATTGGTTCTGTTGTGATGTCCCCCTTTTCATTTATTATTCATGTTATTTGCATCTTCTCTTTCTTTTCCTTTGTTAAATTTGCCAGTGATTTCTCAATTTTGTTAATCTATTCTAAGAACCAGCTTCTAGTCTTGTTGATTTCCTTTATTGATTTTTGTTTCCGCTTCATTTATTTATGCTCTTATCTTTATCATTTCCCTTTTTTCTGTATACTATAAACCTCACCTCACTGCCACCAACTCCAATCTGACTCATAGTTACCCCTCCTTGGGTTTCTGAGGTAGTGTCACCACAGAAGTAGATTGTCCAACTTTCCTTCCAAGGAGTGGCTAGTGGGTTTGAACCACCAGCCTTTTGGTTAGTAGTCAAATGCCTTAGGCACTATGCCACCAGAGCTTTTATTGCTCTTTTTCTAATTGTTGGAGCTGTTGAGCTAAGGTATTGATTTTGGTGGTTTCTTCTTTTTCAATTTATTGCTATAAATTGACCTCTGAGTACTGCTTTCGCTGTGTCCCAATAGTTTTGGTAAGTTATGCTTTCATTCTCATTTATTTCTAGGAATTTTTTTATTTTACATTTTGTTTCTTCTGTTACCCAATAGTTCTTGGGCAATGTTTTATTCAGTTTCCATGTATTTTGATATTGTTTTCCCTTGATCTTCCCCTTATTGATTCCTAATATTATAGCATTGTGATCCAAGAAGATGCTTTGTAGTATTTCAATATTTTTAAATTTACTGTGGCTTAATTTATTTGTGACCTAACATATGGTCTATTCTGGAGAATGACCCATGTGCACTGGAGCAGAA